TACACATACTGAAGACATACAAATCTTTTCATGTAATCTGCATGTATCAATTAATAGAGCAGGATGAACAAATGGTGATGAAGTACTGGAAGTCTTAGAGCGATTAGGCAAGAAAAAGAAATCAAAGGCGTTCAGATTGGAGTGGAAGAAGTAAAACTGTCTCTATTTGCAGATGATATGACCTTGTATTACAGAAAACCCTAACAACTCCACCAAAAAACTGTTAGAATTAATCAATGAATTCAGCTCCATTTTCCTTATACACATACTTAGAACTAGATTGCAATAGCCTTTATTTTTTGGCTGGTGCTTCCATATGGAGCTGAATACTTAACTTCTTGAGTAATTTTTGTTTCCAATGCTTTCAACTGTTAGCCCATAGCAGTCAAAGTTACATGCCTCACTCCATTTTTTGTTGGTTTTTTTTTGGTAAATTTTCTGTGGATAAGAGTATTAAAAAATATTCATGAAAAATTATATAGTTGTAGTTATCACTGGAAAATACTATTTTATTGACTATTAAGAGTGATATGTAAAAATGAAACTGTGGTTTAAACCATCATTTCCTTATTTTAATACAGGTTACTTGAATCAAATAGAAGAGCAGAAATGCCACCACCCTCAAGTGCCCCACTGTATCCACCTCCTGATGGAGGATGGGGCTGGGTAGTGGTTGGAGCATCTTTTATCTCAATTGGATTTTCATACGCATTCCCCAAAGCCGTCACAGTATTCTTCAAAGAAATTCAGCAAATATTCACCACTACCTACAGTGAAATAGCATGGATATCGTCCATTATGCTGGCTGTGATGTACGCAGGAGGTAAGGTTCTTTGGAATAAATAAAATTGTAGATTAAGAAGACAATTCCTCCATGCCATAATTTTACATGTAGTGTCTTGGTATATTAAAGCCCTGTTTTTATATTATTTTCACTTACAATGAACTAGAAGTATAATTAGAACCGAATTTATAATAATTTTAGGGCTTCAACATCTTGAACTATTCACATCATTCTGAGACTTACAGGAGTNCTTATATGGAAGAAACAGAACAGGTAGGAGATAAGGAAGTGAAGAGGTATATGAGCAGTGACTGACAACCTAGAGTATGTAGTTATAACTAAAATCAAGTAAGTATGCTGGGAACAGAACAGATCATATACTGAGATAAACTGGTAAATTATTTTTAAAATAACAATATAAAAAAGAAACAGGATTGAGAAAAAAATAGCTCAATCATATAATGCTTCTTTTTAAAAACCCCTTTCTATAAGCATACATTTCTGTCTGTAAAATGTAAATCTCAACATCAGCTTATCTCATTAGTAAATTTCAATATTAATACTCATAACATAATTTGAATATTAGTAAATTTCAATATTCATATTGATATTTTAAAATATAAGATCATTTAGAAATGTTATTTATATTTTTTGAAAAGATTGAAAAATCATCCAGTTTTATTTTTAAGTGTTTACCATATAGGTGATGTGATAAAAGCTATAATAATTTAAAGTCATGAATTAATAATGAAATATTTTTATTTTTCCTTTATACAAGTTGGAAAATTGCAGAGCGAGGACTTTAAATCTCATAATTGTTTGTACACTTTGCTAATAAAACAACAAGTGGTTTACCACATAAATGCCCTTTGGTATTTCCTCAGTATTCTTTTAGGTTTTTTAAAAAAATGTTTTCAAGGAATAAGAAAATTGACTATTTTATAACAAGATTCAATAATTCAGATTCTTGAGACAACTTTCAAAGAGTGTTGTTTTCAGCTGGTTTAACTACTATGTACAATCTTTCTCTTTTTTTCTTTCTTAAATTTCATACTTTTAAAAAGATAGTATTTCCATTGCTCATGT